TAAAAGCAGCAATTTGTTGTTTGAAACAATTGGGCCTTTAATTAGACAACCAGTAGTATTATATTCTAAATTTATCAAAATCAAATCAAACACAAATTACATTTTAATTTATATGTGGATATTTAGTTCAACAATAATAACAATACAATATTCTAATTACTTATTGAACTCGTATTTTAATATCAAATCAATTCCTATTGTAAACACATTGACAGATATTGTGAACAACAATGATCTCAATGTAATTGGAGATAAAAGTGATCTTGGTAAAATAAAAGATAATATTATAGAATTAAATCAAACAATATCTATAATACTTAATAAGCATATGAAATATGAACATGCATTAAAAATGACCTTGGTATCCAACGCATATATACTCCCGATAAAAGTACTAGAAAATATGGTGGATGGTAAAACTGTAATATTGACAAATAGCATGTCGGCCAATCGCTTTAAAATGACGTTTGACCAATATCAAAATCAATATTCAATAAGTGAGCGCAAATATATACAAGATTACACATACTTTTTTGTAGCAAAGCAGAGCAAGTATAAACAACAATTAATTAACATGTACGTTATAAGTTATAATTAATAACCATTGTTATAATGTTTAATAATTAAATCTTACTCAATAAGGTACAAACGTATTATTATGGCTGATTTGAATTATCATTTAGACCTTATTATAACACTTGTGTTAAAGAAAATTAATGTTTTAAATAATTTGAGTCTAAAGAGCGATAGTTTGGACACAACTGATAATATGTATCAAAGGATTACATTCGCGGATATGTCTAGAAATTCATTCTTAATGTTAATCACCGGATATTTCATTGCAATTATTGTTATATTCGTTAAATTGATTTTATTTTATCATTTATTACTTTATTATTGGTTTTATCGCATTTATAATAAATTTATAATTCTCTATCGGGGTTTATATTTTTACTTTTATTAAGTTTTTTGTAATTTAGATTATAAAGTTAGATTGTGACAATTGCTTTTTTATATTAATTAATTTAATATTATTAAAATACTAATGAAATTACTTTATATTTATTTATGCATTAAATAAATATACAGATTGTAATGATTAAATTAAATTAATATAATCGATTTTTAATTATGTAATGTATTGTATAATTTATTTAATGTATCATAATTAAAAAAGAACAATATGTAACATAAAAGTTAATGATATCAATTAATCAATATATCGATATTATAACAGTAAAGTTTACAGCATATTAGATCTAACAACAATAACTAAACACTAATAATACAGTTTAAAATTTATATTTCATATATCTGTTGTAATTTAAATCATTGTTTAGCTGATAATGTTTAAATTTTAGTGAAAATTTTAATTAATTTAAATATGTATATCGATATTAATAAAGTTGTCCATAAAATGCTTAAAGTTATACCACTTGTAAAAGTTAAAAAGCATAATTTATACTATTGCAATAAATACAATAAAAATGCCACCGATATTGTTCTAATAGGTCATAAGGTATGGACAATAATGTTGTGAATTGATAAATGTTGATTATATATTTTATTTAATTAATTTTGATTGTATTTTTATATTTAGGGATATTTATATAGTATAATGCTGTCAATTGTGCAATATATTACATGTAATTTCAATGTGATTGTTAATTTTACGTCGGACGTTACATTGCTACATAAATTGGTTGGTTTAATTAAAATTAAGATAATGTATATGTTTTATAATTATGTTTAAATGACCAAGGGTGGACTATCTCTTCAACCAACAATGTCGTCATTATTATTGTCTGGTTTTGATGGAGTGCCTATTTCTGACGTATATCAGCTTGAGATAATAACCGGTTTAACAGCTCAGCTAGATCAATCATATTTTAGTTTTATTGCTATTTTTAATATCCAGGTTTGTCTGTATTAATTAATTAATTAATTACAACTTACTACAATTCTAACTACAATTTAAACCATGTTTCTACAATGTAATTAGGTCTGGTTATATCTTATTATTGCAGTCATATTGATTTCACTGTTAATCTGGCTTTTAAATATATCCATAATGGAATATCATTTCTATATATTTGATATATTATTACCACTAATTAAACAACCAAGTGTATTATTATCAACATGCTACAAAAAACATTCAATATGTACAACAATTGTTATAATAATGTATTTATGGCTATTGAGTGCTTTGATTATTACACAACAATTTAGTAGTGATTTATTAAACTCTTATTTTAATATCAAATCATTTCCTATTGTAAACACATTGACAGATATAGTGAATAATAAAAAACTGAATGTGGTTGGAAAAGTGCTTTGATTATTACACAACAATTTAGTAGTGATTTATTAAACTCTTATTTTAATATCAAATCATTTCCTATTGTAAACACATTGACAGATATAGTGAATAATAAAAAACTGAATGTGGTTGGAAATGTTAATGTTTTCAATCTAACCAGAAATACCATCATTGAATATAATGATACTATGAATGAGCTAATTAAAAAGCATAAAAATTATGAACAAAAAATTAATAAAATGCTTGATTCACGTCAATATGTTATTCCTATTAAAGTACTGACGGACATGGTTTATGGTAAAACTGTAATAATTGGAGATAGCATCATGATCAATTGGTTTAAATCAATGTTTGAACAATATAGAAATCAATATTTTCATAGTGACCATAAGTATATTCAAGACTATACGTACTATTATGTGCCAAAACACAATAAATATAAAACAAAACTAATTAGCATGTATGTACAAATAAGTAATTTAATTGTATGAATAGTATTTAATAAAAATTATCTGTTTTTGATTTTAATCAGGTTCAATCGAGTTATAATTGGAGGGTTGAATAATCATTTTAATTCTCTTATTACAATAATATTGATGCTTAGAAATGTGGCAAACAATTTGAGTCTAACGAGTGATAGTTTGGACACAAATAATAATATGTATCAAAGGATTACATTCGCGGATATATTTAGAAATTCATTCGCTTTGTTAATCACCGGATATTTTACTGCAATTATTATTTTAGTTATTGAATTGATTTTATTTTATAACTTACTTTTGTATTATATTAATTATTATTTACGTCGTCGCAATTATTAAAATCATTATGTAACTTGTTATAATTTAGAACATTATGGTTGGTAAATCGCGCTTATTTAATAAATTATTTAATATAAACAAAATATTTATAATATATTTAAGTATAGATTTAATTAATGTGTTTTTAATTATAAATGTCAAAAATTAAATCAAAATATTCTGATCTTATTTTGAATAAATTATTGTTTATAACAAATAATTGTTCAAACGAACAGTTTATTACTGATAAAAATAAAGGTAACATGTTACTTTTAATAATAGATATATTGGGTAACAAATATAAACATACTGATAAGTTTTTCTAATTAATTTGTCCTTGATGGAATTTAGTCTTATATATTACATATGATAAAAACAGGAAAAATAATTTATCTTTTAATACGATTTTAATTGACTTTATATTGATTAAATATATTTCATAATTTACAGTATTCTCTATGTATAATATAGTTTAAAGTACATAAAGCTATAGAATAGCACCGACGAGAACTGTTCAATAGCATAAAGTATTATTATAGATAGCAATGGGTGACAAATATTAATCAATTTTTTAATCGTGGTAACAAAAACAAATCAATATGAATATTAAGAAAACTGTATATAAAGCTAAATGTTTTCTGTCAAACAGATATAAATATTGTTAAACTATTGATATTGGTTTAAACATAAAGTTTGTTATAAATCTTTAATTAGTTTATTAAATATTATATACTTTTGGTAAAAAAGCAGTGAAAAATGTTTTTGTATATGTGAGTATTATAGAAACAATAATTTATCAAGCTCATTTAATAACAAAAAATTAATACTTAAATTTTCAGCATCGGAAGTATCATTACATTACTGATTGTGCAATATATGGCACAGTACTATGCAAGAATTAAAAAGTACCCACCTGGCCCAAAACCATTACCTATTTTTGGCAATATATTAAGTAATAACTATATTAACTACATGGTAAATGTTGGTAAAATTAATTAATCAACTTATTTCGCAAACACAGTGTTTTGGAACTACCAAACGAGGGGACACTGGAATCACGAGCTCATTGACCTAGCTAAAATATACGGCCCAGTTTTTACCATATGGGGTGGACCATGGCCAATTATCATTGTGTGCGATGTAGATATTGCCAAAGAGGCTTTCAGTAAAAGTGATTTTTCAGGCCGCCCACCTTCTGACCTAGGTAAAAATTTTATTAAATTAATTATATAAGTTAAATAACATATTTTTTAAAAATATTTATAAATATAAACTAGGTGAAATATTTTCCAACGAAAATCACACCGAGATCGCATTTCGCGATTACGATAAAACATGGGAAGCACTCCGAAAAGTCACGCATACGGCTGTAACGTAAGTCATTAACTAATTAACTTGGTAATCATTTTGTCAATACTAATAATAACTTATAATACTTATCACGTAGAAAATACTCGCGATTGGATGAGCTGTCAAATTGCGTTAACGAAGTGGTGGGCGACACATACGACGATATAATGAGCCGATACGGCGCTAACCGGCCCTTCCCTGTAAAGGACTACGTATTTGACCTGTTCTGCAATGTTAACGCATTGACCACGCTCAGTCGAAAGTATAATCATGCTTGCTAGTTATATAAGAATTAAAAACTAATTTTTACCTAAAATATTACATTACATTAACTAGATTACGACCCGAAGAGATTGTTAAATTTAAGTACACATCGGACACATTTCAAACTGACCTGGGCAATTCGCTGTTTTTGTATGAATTCTTGCCGATCGCCCGAAAGTTAATGTCGTATCCGTTGAAAAAGTACCAAGATTATTTTGACCAGGAGCTGCGTTTCACCTCGGACCAATACGAGACACACGTCAAAACTTATAATAACGACCATAAGCGAAATATTTGCGATTTGATTATTAGCGGCAAACAGGAGGCTCAGAGTCAGGGCAAAGACATGGCCAGTCATTTGACCGACATCAACATGAAAGCCACCTTGATCGATATGTTTTTGCGTAAGTGTTATACTAATCACTATTGTACGTTAGAAAATTGTACGATTTAAATGTTTCTATACAATAATATGTATATTAATAAAGTATGATTAATTAATAAATGATTTGCTTTGCAGCTACATCTGACACGACCCACACGTTTCTATGGATACTGTTGTACATCGCGTACTACCCGGAGGTTCAGCGCCGTATACGCGATGAGATCGAGTGCACAGTCGGCGACCGGTCGGCCAACCCGGAGGACAGGCATCGGCTGCACTATACCATGTCATACATATGGGAAATGCAACGAATCAGAAACTCGGTGCCCATCGGGCTGTTTCACTCGGCCGTCAACGACGCGAAACTAGGTCAGTTTTATGTAATACTACAGTATATAGTCAAACATAATAATGATTAAGTTAATTTTTATTATTGATAAGCACATTATTTTTATACTGACTTATGAGTTTAATCTAACCATTATTTTAATAAATTAACTTTTATAATAATGTAATTTTAAAAATCCCTTATTTGTATAATCTAGGTGACTATGTGGTGCCAAAAGGTACGCCGGTTGTTGTGCACCAGTTATCGATACTGACCGATGAGAAATACTGGGACAAGCCGTTGGAGTTTAAGCCGGATCGTTTTTTGGACAACGAGGGCAAACAAGTGACGGTCAAACCCGCGGCGTTCATACCGTTCAGCATTGGTAAGAGAAAGTGTATCGGTGAACAGTTGGCCACCACTACTTTGATGTTGACCCTGGTCAGATTGTTGCAATTAACCAGCAATTACAATATTGTGCTTGATAATCCGACGCCCGGTTGTCTTGAACCTGATCCAATTAATCTTTGGTTGTTGTTTCCCAAAAAGTATCAAATTGTTTTTAAAAGCAAATAGTTTTATGAATTTTTACAATTATTTGTTTGTTATTTAGTTTAATAATGTTAAATTAATATTAATAATTATTAGATACCTTTGTATAAAATTTATATTATAGACTATTTAATAGTCTATTATTTGTTTACAATAAATTAAAATAAAATTTACAATTAATAAATATTTTTAATTAGTTATAGTTAATGAAAACTCTTTTGACATGTTGTTCTTCAAAATAGTAGTCAAAATACAAGAGAGAGAGAGAGAGAGAGAGAGAGAGAGAGAGAGAGAGAGAGAGAGAGAGAGAGAGAGAGAG